TGAATTTTGTTATGCTATTCATCCCAATATTATTGTTTTTAGTAGTTTTTTATTTTTTTTATTTTTTTGCATCAACATTTTTATTTTACTTAAGTTTAATATTTATAAGATTCCTAGTGGTGAAGGGGTTCACATTGAAAAGTCGACCACAGTTGACTTTGGAACATTGTCACTTGGTGACGAAGTTTTGCATTCTATTTTAAGGAAAATTATTGTGGAAATTAAGAAGTCTAAAGAAGCAATTATTATGTTGTTTTCCTCATTTTTATTTATAGATATTATATTTAATTTTTTTATCCACTTAATGTGTTATACATTTTCATTTGTAGGTTATGACTTGTTTAACTCTTGCTAAGATTATTTAGATTGAATCTACACATAATTGGTTCTACAAATCTTGCTATAATTGTACAAATAGTGTTAAGCAGGACTTTGGAATATGGATTGCAGAAAATGTGATAAGGGATGGTCAAATCCTAGATTGAGGTTTGTGATTTGAAATTCATAGTTTTTTTTCTCATAAACATAGAAAAAATATTAAATTTTGATTAAGTTAAAGTTTTAATTATTTGATACTAATTCCATTGTTTTATACTAATTTCATTGTTTTTTGTTATAAAGGTACTACATTCGAGTTCACATAATTGATGGAATTGATGTTGCATCCTTCATTCTTTTTGATTCCACTGCAAAAGAATTTCTTAATATATCTACTTTTGATTTATGTGACCTGCACTTCAAATGGGTGATTTTCTTTGTCATCTTCAATATTTATTTTTATGTGTATGATTTAATCTTTGTATATACTATTTTTGATGATATAATTAATTTTAATTATATAAGGGTGGCAATCCGAAAACTTATTTTGTTGAGCTTGATGCTCTGAAGGACAAGAAAATGATTTTTAGGTTGAGCACCAAACATAATAATATTAACAGTTTCGAAGAAAGTGTCTACAATGTTGAAAAGAATTTTTTTGATAAAAAGATCATTAATAGCTTTTTACAAATAACTGTACATGTGTGTTTGCCTATGTTTATTAGATTTTTATTCTTAAATTAAGTTCAAATCTTTTGAAAATTTTGTTTATAACTTAATCATGTAGGAATCTTATGAAATTCAAAAACTTTTCATGTGACGGGAATGTAAGTATTTCAATGAAAGAATATATTGATGGGGTGAGTTTTTACCTTTTAATAAAGATTGTATCAACTCTTTATTACCATAAGTTAGCATGACATTCAATAGTTTTAGCACTTAATTTTTAATATTGGTAATGTTTTGTGATTGTAAGATAAGATTTCTCATATAGGAGATAATTGTACTGAAGATGCATCGAATGAAGGACATATTTATTGAAAGAGGTCATTTACTGAGTCTGATCTAGATGAAGTTTCTAATAGTCTACTTCAACAATATGCAACAAAGATCAAGAAGCTCATAAAGATTAAGAAAGATTGATAACATTTTGTGTTTGGTTGAACCAAATTAACAAGTTGTGTTTTCTTATATGAATTATATAAAATAAATAAATATGTAATGTTTAAATTAAAAACTTCGAGTGTATTTTTTTTGGTTAAATATCTTTTATAAGACATATTATAATGAGAATATATATTTGTTTTCTATCTTTTTAGCTATTCAACCTTTTAATCTTAATTATTATTTTGTACATGTCTTTTTTAAAAGCATTTGATATTGTATGGTCTTTTTGCTGTATGAGGATTTTCACTTTTATCATCTCAATTTTTCAAGCCACTGTAGTCCTCAAATAAATAAATGAAAAAAGAAGTTAATGCCCCCATCTAATTTTTTTCGTTTTTATTTCTTG